GTATGGCACTGCTCCACGTGTGTGATGGTTAAATGCAGAGACTTAAGTTCCCCACCAGGGGATCAATACAGTATAGGACAAACATCCAAGGTGGGATAGGGAGCGACTATGTAAGAGCATGCTCAGGTAATTTCCTGTTGTCCCTCCTTCATGTTTGAACTTCGACCCCAACGCCTCGGATGTTTGTCATATACTGTATTGATCCCCTGGTGGGGGAATTAAATCTCTGCATTTAACCCATCACATGTGGAGCAGTGCCAGGCTGCCAATTACAGCAGCCAGGGAGCATCTGAGGGATTGAGGGCCTTGTTCAAGGCCCCAAATGGGGTCTTCATGCTGAATGATTTAAATGTTAAAGATTTAAAAGCATGATTTGTCTTCTTTAAATCCACATTTTCTAACAGGTATGACTTCAGAAATAATATTTTGTTTTATAATTATTTTAATACCTTTAATAATCTCATCTTTTTTGTCATCTTTGGGAAATTTAGGCATTTACCTTTTTATATAAACGGCTGGAATTCCCCATGACATTATTTTAGACCAATAAAAATGGGGTTTCAAACCGCAACTTGTAAACAAAAATAACTTGTTGCTAACCAGGTAATGAATCACCAAAATTTCAACAAAGTAGGGGAGATATGGGACAGTTGCAACACTTTTTGCATTTGACGCTGTTACTCAGAGATGGTTTGACTTAGACAAACTAAATTTCAATACAGTAAACTTACATCTGTCTGTTAATAGTCAAAACCATTTATAGATGATTAAAGCATGTACTTTCTTCATAATTTGCATTTGAAAATGAAAAGTCAGATGTTGCAACTGGGGCCGGGGACTGTTGCAACATTGTTTGGGGGTGGTTGCAACATATTATTAATACAATATATTTCACTGGAAATAAATGTTTTATTATTTTTATATATATAATATTGCTAAACTTATAAGAACTGTAAGTTATAATGATATTACAGTGTTATTTTTAATTCTTTTTGATCAAATGACAAATATGAATTTGTCTTGATGAATAGACCTTATATATAGATGTCAAAGACTCTAATTGATATAAAACACAGTTGACTTTTTGAGACAAGGAGAATAGAACAATTTGTGAGGCAATTAACTTTTGTTTTGCGTATTGTCACTGTACGCCTACATTCTGCAAAATTTACATTGAAGGAAACTGGGATTTTAAAACCATTGTTGAAAACAACTACAGAGAATACATCTTGAACACTTTTATGTTTTAAACTATAAAACTGTCATAAGTACCCAAACTTAATTTCAACATCTTAATATCATCTGTATGTGGTCTGTTTTTACATGAATTTATTGCACAACTGTCCCTCTTCCTGTCAGCCATGATAAAACCTCATGTGTTAGCTAAATAAGCTGATCTGGATACATATTAACTATATTAGTTATAAATAAACACATCACTTGTTTAAACCATATAAGTTTGAGCTGGATCACAATAACAGTGACAACAGTATAACAAAAATAAAGCTAGGCAAAAAATATATATACTTTGGTACCTCAAAAACAGTTKTTTTTTTTTTTCAAATAAATCCTGGAGCAGTTTTTGAATCTGCTTATTTTTTCTTTGCAAGGTGGAGCATCTAAGTGAGCATGTACAGTGTGAGTGTCATCACTCTAGCTTGTTTCTGTTTGGAAAAAATGACGTGTTGCAACCGTCCCTTGTTGTTACTGTCCCTGGTTTCCCCTGTGTATCACTTTGAAGCTTTTCAGATGGAGAATTTCAAAACAACTAACTGAAAAAACTGTCAGAAACAGGAAGCAAAATGCTTCTCCCATATATGCAATTGTTGTTTAGTATGTTTTTAATAAAGAGCACTAAGTGGTTACTTTTTTTAGTTTCAAGCCATGACTTAAATTGTCATTTTGGACTTGAATTAGAAAATGAGGCCTGGCTGTCAGAACCTACAAAGTATATGTGCTGCCAAAAAAAAAAAAACACTTTGTTATTCAGCACAAGAGCTTTGTATCTCAATAGGAAGACTTTTTGTCTTCTCTATTATTTATGTGTTTGCCAACTATTTGGGCCGTCCCACGAAGCACACAAAAAGTTTCTTTATGRCTCGACTGCAGCTGTAGCCCACAGCTTGTTTTGTACTTTCTCAGTCCAACTCTCACCGAGATGATCTGAGCTCCCATTTTTTTATATTTTTTCCTTTGAAACAGCTTGTAAACAAGTTACAAAAATTAAGTAAAAAAAAAAAAAACAAGCTATCAGGAGTCGCAAAAGCGAAACTATTCTCACAGCAGGCAGACATGTGTGAGCAAAGAGCAACTAAACTCATTACATTCCTGGAAATCCCGCATTCTTTGCTGGTTTCAGATAAGAAACAGAAGAAGGGTAATTAAATGTCAGATAGTTTATTAACTATTTTTTACATGATTTAAGTATTTAAAAGTAAAAACAGTGGTAGAAACAGCTTAGAATATTCAGATGACTATTTTCAAAAATAAATGTTAGAAAAAAACTGTATACTGATAATTCTCATTATTACAACACATAAAGCAAAAATAATGTTTTATTTGTAATGGTATTGTGTTATAATAAAATAAAACTGTATTGATTCATGATTTAGAGGCTYAGAAGTTTAACATAAAACAGTATATACTGTAGATCTGTGATGTGAAACTCACATTGAGTCCTTCCCTTCTATATTAACAGAAATACAACCATGTTTCATCGTTGAACAGAAGCCCCCCTACTTCCTGAAACCCATGGCGTGGGCTCATTGAACTCCCCTTTTGCAGGAGCAACATTCAGTTCAAACTCCTGAGCAGCAGCAGGATATTTGTGTCGATTCATCACGTTTGAGCTGGCAGGTCGGACTGCTGCTGCTGAATATCCTGTAACATCTCTTTCTGCTCTGCAGCTGGCTGCTCACGTGATGCTTTGGGGTCCACACCCACCTCCCACGGTGACCCATGATGCTCAGCTGTGTCACATTTGAAGAGGTTCAGTATTCTGTTCCGGAACGTTCCATAAAGAAAAAAATACAACACCGGCCTGAGGCAGGCGTTAACGGAACCTATAGCCGAGGCGACCGTGACCGCAGTTTTCACAGACTCTGTGAGTTTTATAGGAGATTTGTTGAGGAAGTTTTGGGATCTGTAGCAGATGGTGTCTACAATGAGGACGATGTTGTAGGGTGTCCAGCAGACCAAGAAAATCCCCATCAGAACCGAGATGGTGATAAGGGTTCTCTTCTTCTTCTTCTTGGTGCCGGAGCTGTGCTGCTGYAGCAAGAACTGGGAAGCTATAACGATAAAGACCACTACAGGGAGCAAAAATCCCACTGCGAGGTGGAGCAGACGAAATCCCAGCAGCCAGTCGACTCCAGACTCGGGGTATTTGTGAACACAAATYGCTTTCCCTTGCAGTATTTCTTTGTCAGGCTCCAGGAGCCTCCAGTCGAGGCCGGTGAGAAACAAGGAGACGAACCAGGCCAACAGGCAACTGAAAAACACAAACTTGGCCCTGTGGTGGGAAAACCACCCGCCCTGGGTGGCAGTCAGGTAGTAAATTAAACAGATGCAAACCAGCAGAAAGATCCCGATGTAGAAGTTGACCTGGAAAAAAAAAAACAAATAAAAAAACTTCAGCCATCTTTAAATTTCTTTCTCTCGCCTCTTCCTACAAACCTTGAAAGAATCAGAGGATGTTATATAAAAAGGAGCTCACTTCCTCAAAGCAGAGTTAAAGAAAAGCCTAAAATAAACAGGAGATAATCAGCAGCCAAATACTTTCTCTTGTAAACAAAGCTTCACAGAACACTTTCACTTTCAGTCTGAGTCTCCCACAAGAACACTTACAYTAAAAACAGCTCTGAATACGGCGAAGAGCGTCTCGGGGCACTTTTCACAATGCTGATTAGCCTGCGCGCCCCAGACGGGCAGGGTCACCAGCAGCAGGATGTCCACAATTCCCAGTTGGAGAAAAACGCTGTCCAGTATGCTCCACCGCCTCCTCCTTTGCGACAGAACTGCCAAGAGGAGAACATTCGCCAACAGACCCACAATCACCACCACAGAGTAGAGAACAGGCAACCACACCATCCGAATGGTTTTCTCCTCTGCTCCCACTGGGAAGTCTTCAGCCTGGTAGTCATCAACATAGTCATAGAGTTTGGTCTCATTGAAGACTCCAGCACCTTCAATTTCCATGTCCAGCTACGGTGAAGACAAAATGAGAGACTCAAAACACAAACTCCAGTCTTTCAGTCCACCATCTGCTCTGTTAAAGTGATTTTTTTTTTCGTTTTAAAGCCCCTTTTTTGGGAAACCCCGCTGGATAACACGCTCAGACTCACACATGATGCTGCATGTCACATGCTGCCATGTCACTCAGCAAGTGATGCAAGAGTGGAAAGGACAAAAAGGGAAATTTAAAATCTCACTCGTCATGCACACACAGTGTTTTATGTCTCACAGAGGGACGAGCTGCCATAGTTWAATCTGAGTCAGGTATTCAAATAARCCCCGAGACAATAGAAAGCATTTGGAAAATGAATGTAAAATTAAAGCGGGACTTTCTAAATCCAAATATATGATCACTTACCAACTTTCTTAGAGAGTCTGTTGAATTTGAGGCCATTTCTCTTCTTCGATGTGAAGAAGGGACAAACAAAAACCCTGCGACTTGCTCAGATTCAGTGGGACGGTCAGTGATGACAGGTCGTCTCTGGTCACTCTGTCAGAGAGCTGTCGAGTCTGTTCAGCCGCAGCATGGCGGGGACAGCTGCTCGTCAGTCTCTATCAGTGTCCGCAGTTTGACATTTGCATCACGCATGCAAAGTTAAAAAGCAGACGGTGAAAAGAAACCAAACACCAAAAAGCAGATGTTTAAAATAACATATTCGTTCGACGAAAGGAAAAAAAAGCGCTCGACATCAGCAGGAAGTTGTGTGTCGGACACGCGGACTGTTTGTAAACATTATAACACCAAAAGAAAATAAAAACTCACACGATGCTCAACTGTCATCTAATTTAGCTGGTTTTGAGCAGCTAATAAAACTCGAAGCGCTTTTCTTGTTGTTGTTGCGAAATTTGTCAATGAAGAAAAAATACAACTGTTTCCGTTGCATTGTTTTTCAAAATAAAATCTCAAAAAACATAATTAATTAAGTATGAGAGGGAAGCTAATTAAGAAAAACAAATTTAAGTTTTGCTCATATAAATTATAAAAAATGTATTGAAAAGTCTTCAAATATTGAATCAAGCAGTTGTTTTTTTATGAACAAAGGTTTTGTTTTGAAAAGAATATTCATGCTTCCGTGTAAGTCCACGTTGACTTGCGGATGGTGAGATGTTCTGTCCGCAGTACCGCTGCCKGTCCACAAGAGGGAGCTGCTGCATTTGTCCACGGTAAAACTGTAGCCGAGCCGCTACCCCACACTGAGCTGGGAGAATTATTTTTCACACACCTGTTTTGAAAGACAATTTTACGATGGCCTGCAGGTGCAAAACAGCACTACAAAATCTGAAAGATTTTTAGTAGACTAAGGCTACATTAGCCCATAGTTAACAACTGTCTGTTATAATGTCCAGAGAATAGCTTTTGCTACATTGGAATCACATTAACTAATGCAGGTTTTAAAAAGTGCTTAGTTAGCATTTTCATTTGTTTATTTTTTCTTATCTCCAGCACACATTAGTAAGTTGTCATCTTTTACAATAAAGGCCATCAAACTAGACAACTTATGCCAACTTAATATGAAACATTTGTATGACTAAATTGCTAATAAAAGTTGTATATTTGATCATTTGTTAGAATTACAGTATGTACACACCTAAAAGAAGCTTCCAGTTATTTTTTTTTTCCAAATTGGAGTAAATTGTCTAAATTATGTGACAGGGCCTTTACATTGATCCTTCAAACATAGTAAACAAAACTTAATCCCTTTTAAGTCAAAAGCTTTACATTCACATGTCTTCAGTGTTTTTATTTATATTTTTTATGCTAATTGCATTTTCATTTTCCGCATTTATGTTTTAGCTTGTTACATGATTAAATGAACAAAAACATGATCTAAGATGGACTTTTCATTGTTATTTATTAATTTTTTCTGTAAACAAATAACATTAGGGCTATGATTTTATGTGAAAGAACTGATAAAATAAAAAATGAAAAATAATATGAAATGTTTTGCAGCACTTGTACGGTTACTAAGTGTGACTGAACAACTATGTAATTTGAGCGACGTTAAAATATAACTCAGTTATTGTTTCTGATTTTGGGAAATGCCAAATGTGTCCTCATTTTAAATATCTTTATAGTTTAAATGATGAATGTAGTTTAAAGGAAGGTCTAGATAAGATTAAAATAATCAAAATGAACATTTATTTTGTACTGATCCACACTAAAGGGAAAAAACTTCCTAGAATAAACCTGTAGGTAAGAATGGTAAAATTCTGATGCATACTAAACACAGTGTTTTGGTTACATTACAAAATATTTATTGCAAAAATCTTTGTACATCAAGGATTTTTTTTGTCAGGTTCACTTCCTTTTAAACAGCAGAGTACACATTTAAAACACACACAGATGAGAGAAAAAGTGTCTTATAAGAAACAAAATCAAATCAAATGAACTACAACAATTACACTTTGAAATTTTAAATGTATATCTATTAGATAAAAGAAAACAAAACTCTCTGGATTTCCAAGTGAAAAAAGAGAGAGTGCTGATTCCACAGTTTACCCCGTAAACTGCTGAACAAGCGCTTTAGCAGTGTGAAGAAATCAAGACATTTCTCAAGATTTGATCTATAGACACAAAATCAACACAATCTCACGGAATGATTTGTAATAACAAAACTGTCAGACRTGGTTTTATGATCTGATACAATATTGTGAATGAAAATGGCAAAAACATAAAATAAAATGAGCTGCACTTTTTTAAAAAAGCACATTTTAAAAATAGACAAATACATACCTTCTGAGAACATTTTTTTCTTTTCAGTTTTATTAAATTTTTTTGTGTTGTGCAACTCTCAAACACACAAAACCACATTTGTTGTCTGATCTCTAACCAGTGTTACACCATGACAGAGTACGAGGTGTTTTCACTTTCTGCAGAGCTGAACGATCCTGTCATTTTTCGGAGCTTCCTCTCCCTCAGGTCCTTCATTCTCAGCAGGCCTCTCTGTCCCAGCAGCTCCCGACACATTTGGATCAGTTCCCTCCTGAACTTCACCCCGACGAAGCCGTACAGCAGAGGGTTGAGGGCGCAGTGCGACAGCCCCACGCTCTCAGTGATCACAATCCCCATGTCCACCACACGGCCGAACTGGCAACCCCCTTTCACCAGCCCCAGCTTCTGCAGACTGTCCGCCAGCTGGAAGCAGTTGTACGGGGCCCAGCAGAGGACGAACACAGACACCAGGGAGATGATGAGGCGGAGAGACTTTCGCTTTTGGCGACGAGAGGCATTGCACAGAGACTTGAAGATATGAATGTAGCAGTAGAGCATGATCAGCAGGGGCAGACAAAAACCCAGAATCACACTGACGGACTGCATCGCCACCTGCCACTGAGCGGGATTCTCAGTGAACCACACCTGGCACATGGCCATCTCTTGGTTGCCCCCAATCGGGATCTTCGAGACCTGGGTGAACGCGAAGTCCACCCCGCTCAAGCCGAGGCACACCACCCAGATGGACGCGCACGCAATCTGGGCATGGCAGGTGTTGCGCTTCCAGCCTGAGCTGATAGCGTGGACGATGGCCAGGTATCGGTCGAAGCTGATGCAGGCCAAGAAGAGGATGCCGCTGTAGCGGTTCAAGGAGAAAAGGGCGCCGGAGACTTTGCAAACGGCCCAGCCGAACACCCACTCGTGAGTCCACTGCACTGCAAACAGGGGAAGGGTGAGGGCCAGCAGGAGGTCCGAAATGGCCAGGTGAAGGAGGAAGGTGTCTGTCAGGGAGAAGGCACAGGCTCCACCGTTCTGAGAGCTTTTGTAGCGTCTGATCACGCACAGTACCAGCACATTGCCCACAACAGCCAGGATGAACACCAGGCTGTACACAACTGGGGAAAACATCTTTGCAAAACCATAGATGTCATCCTGCTTGCATGGAGGTGCACTAACTTTACTTGTGCCAGGTGAATTGTTGTAATCTGGATAGTCATCATAACCAGTCTAAGAAAAAAAAAGCTTGATTTACTGATGGGTTAAAGTGCAATAAAACAGATTTTTATATGAAACAACTCAGAATCAATTTCAGCTTGCTCTAGAAAACAACTTATTGCAGTAGAGCATCCACTCACCCAGTAATCCTCGGTTGGTGTGATTGAATTCATATCTGCAGAAAACAAAGGAGCCAGCAGAACAATTGAAACCACCCAAGAGTGAAGAGGCCACACTGAGCTCGAATGCACATCAGCTACACATCATTCACACGCCTCTGGATGACAGAAGGCTGGAAAGAAGAAGTATGAATTTCAGGAACTGAATCTTCGCACATTTTAGACATCTGTCCAGAAAGCTATAGTAAAAATGGACGGTGACTACGTGAAGGACATTGTGACATATTTTTATGATGTCTGCAGCCAGCTACAAACTTGTAACCATGTAAAAGCTGCACTTTACATGAAAAAACACATTCTTTTCAAGATGTTGCACCAACATATCCAGAAAAAAGAAATCATTAGTTCCTCAGGAACGACTAAACTGATTTTAATTTTCATTACCAAAAGTGAAAACTTGGACTCAAACTAGAAATTTTAACTAGAGAAATGAAAGTGCTTGGTTGGCAGAAATCTTCAGCTCCACTATTTTGTTTTTATGATCAACTTGTTTTGTAATGTTTACCCCCCTTAAGCAGTTTAAGATTTTGTATATATATTTGCTTTTAGTGAAATAAAATGTTAAAATATTTTAAAGCAGTATGTCATAAAAAGTCCTTTTCTGGTTTTGACTTCTGTTGCTATTTGAAGGGAAAAAAACTGCATAAAAACAACATTACCAGTGTTGTGTTTTTCTGAGAAGACTTGTCCTCAGAGATCTTGCAAGGAAGACTGGATGTTGAAGAAAAGAGCTTCTGGTGCAGGACAAACTGAACCCAATATCAGATGTAGTGGAAGAATCAACAGGATGTGAAGTAATTCTCTCGTGTGGTTAAGATAATCTTACCACTGAGGGGTAAAAATAAACATTACTTCAGTTAAAAAAAAAGCACCACAGAAACAGGTCTTTTGTCCATGTTGTGTTTTCACATCACAAAGTCCAGAATAAAGTTGAAAGAATAGTATATATGGGGTTCTGTAGAAAGGTTCTGACAATATCTTACTTGTTGTAGATATTTTGAATATATACAGAGCGGAGAACAAGTATTTGATACACTGTTGATTTTTCAGGTTTTCCCACTTGCAAAGCTTGTAGATGACTGTAATTTTTATCATAGGTACTCTTCAACTGTGAGTGATGGAATCTAAAACAAAAATCCAGAAAAATACAATGTATGATTTTTAAATAATTAATTTCCATTTTATTGTGTGAAATAACTATTTGATCATCTATCAACCAGTAAGAATTTTGGCTCTCACAGACATGTTAGTTCTTCTTTAAGAAGCCCTCCTGTTCTCCACTCATTACCTGTATTAACTGCACCTGTTTGAACTCGTTACCTGTATAAAAGACACCTGTCCACACACTCAATCAGACTCCAGCATCTCCACAATGCCCAAGACCAGAGAGCTGTGTAAGGACATCAGGGATAAAATTGTAGACCTGCACAAGGCTGGGATGGGCTACAGGACAATAGGCAAGCAGCTTGGTGAGAAGGCAACAACAGTTGGTGCAATTATTAGAAAATGGAAGAAATACAAAATAAGGGAAAATCTCCCTCGGTCTGGGGCGCCATGCAAGATCTCACCTCGTGGAGCATCGCTGATCTTGAGGAAGGTGAGGAATGAGCCCAGAACTACACGGCAGGACCTGGTCTATGACCTGAATAGAGCTGGGACCACAGTCTCAAAGAAAACAATCAGTAACACTCTACGCCGTCAAGGATTAAAATCCTGCAGTGCACGCAAGGTGCCCTTCCTCAAGCCAACGTATGTCAAAGCCCGTCTGATGGACCATCTGAATGATCCAGAGGAGGAATGGGAGAAGGTCATGTGGTCTGATGAGACAAAAATATAACTTTATGGTTTAAACTCCACTCGTCATGTTTGGAGGAAGAAGAATGATGAGTACAACCCCAAGAACACCATCCCAACCGTGAAGCATGGCGGTGGAAACATCATTCTTTGGGGATACTTTTCTGCAAAGGGGACAGGACGACTGCACCATATTGTGGGAAGGATGGATGGGGCCATGTATCCTGAGATTTTGGCCAACAACCTCCTTCCCTCAGTAAGAGCACTGAAGATGGGTCGTGGCTGGGTCTTCCAGCATGATAACRACCCAAAACACACAGCCAGGGCAACTAAATATCAGGTTTTCGAAAAGTCAAAGATGAACGGGTTTGGAACGAAACAGACTCGGGAGACCAAATGCAAAAAGTAAGTGATTTTATTTACAGTGAAGGTCAGGATGGGGGACTGGGAGGAGCTGCAAAGGAAGGTGAGCCGGTGAGTATTTGTTTGACGGGAGAAGAGATCTTGCAATAATGATAAGTATACTGTATTATTTCTTACAGGTCTATGAKGGAGGAGCGGCACAGAGGAGAAGGTGAGGATCCACGGAGGTAAGTTGTTTCCTTTTGTTTCCAGGTTGAGTTGATCAAAGGTGAGCAGGTGAGTTCCAGAGGCGTTGGAGGCAGACAGGCAGGTGAGCAGGGCGGAGATGTTACTTCCTTTAGACGACACGGCAGGATCACGGGCAGGAACACTGGACATAAAAACACAGTAATTATCAACAGGAAGGTTTCCAAAGAAGAGCAGCCAGGACAAATACCATAAGGCATGTGTTGCTCCGGCGAGGATCAGTTCACCAGTGTCGTCTTATAAAGCCCTCAGGTGCTCATCAGGAGATCAGCTGCAGCTGCACTGATTAACGCCTTGGCCAACCAGGAAACTGCTGGTGAAAAACTCAAATTGCTACACTAAAGAGTGGCTCCATAGGAAACATCTTAAGGTCCTGGAGTGGCCTAGCCAGTCTCCAGACCTGAATCCAATAGAAAATCTTTGGAGGGAGCTTAAAGTCCGTGTGGCCCAGCGACAGCCCCGAAACCTGAAGGCTCTGGAGGAGATCTGAATGGAGGAGTGGGCCAAAATCCCTGCTGCAGTGTGTGCAAACCTGGTCAAGAACTACAGGAAACGTCTGATCTCTGTAATTGCAAACAAAGTTTTCTGTACCAAATATTAAGTTTCATTTTTCTGGTGTTTCAAATAGTTATTTCACACAATAAAATGGAAATTAATTATTTAAAAATCATACATTGTATTTTTCTGGATTTTTT